TGTAAGTGATGTGTGGAGTGACTGGGAACATGGGGGGAGGGGGGAAGGGGGCATGTGCCTCCCCAGATTTCTGCACCGATGGCAGGGCACGGGGCATGGCGCTACAGCACCACAATTTCAGTGCCAATGGCAGGGCCAGGGGCTACAGTCTGACCTGACCCAGCAGCAAGGAGGGCAGCATGGAGTTGTACCCTCCCTATTGGTAACACTTATATTTAATCTATTTTTAACACTTCAAAAACAGAATTCTGTAGGATTTATGCAGGACAAAGCACTGCAGTTTTGAGAGCAAGATGCCTGGGGAGAAGAAAGAATATCTAGTATGGCAGAACAACTGTGGTAGGGATGCTGGATTGACAGAGGAAGCCTGCCTACTAATTATCAGCAGGATGTGAACATTGAGCTGGGCCTGCAGCCTCTACAGAGGAGAAATTGTGGAAGTGACAAAGCAAACATATACTAGAGGAAATAGAGCATCAGTTCAGTGCAACAAAACAATGTCTAAGCCCCTTTGCAGTATATCACTGGCATCACTGTTCTGCATGACCACATACAGGATTATGTTTAAAACCCCCAACCATAGCACTTCTAAAAAGTTAAAAATCATAGACAAAAATATTACATTCCAGCTATTCAGTTGTTAACATACAGCTTGCACAAAAGAAATACTCAGATTCAGCATACATGACAGGCCAAGTTACAGGTATTCCACAGCTTTGTAGATGGTTCTGCCAATATTGATGGGAAATCTACAGCCTTAAAATGTAGTGGGTGTTTTCCCATGGCTGTGTCACCTGCCACCGTGCAATAGGACAGAATCTTCTGACAAAGAAAACTAGAAGTTGTCTATTACCAGATGCAGGTCATAACCGTTAACTTAGAAGTTGTGGGGTTTGCAGCCTGAGCTCTGGAAGCATGAGTGTGGCAATGCTAGAATCACATAGGGAACTTATGTTCTTCAAATAAATCCTAAGTGGCTTAGTCACTGGTACCTGGGGCTGCTGTTTGGAGAGACAGAGAGAGAGACAGAAATCTGCACCCTCTGAATTAAAAAGCTAAGCCTAGCAAAGAAATCCCCTATTATATTTTAACAGTCCTTAGTCAGTGGGACATCCTGAAGTCATTCATGAGGAATTTGGCACCTCCTTGAATTATTTTAGAATTGCTTAAATTAAGATGAAACCTTCACCTCTCTCCTCCCCCCCTCTAATCTCTTTCACTTTCAGAGTGCTTTGCAAAGGAATGTCCCTGCTGTGCCACATGTGCAAAAACAAGAGAGCGGGAGTGGACTTGCACTGATGAGAAGAGTACCATCGTGGGGACTTGGCATACTGTAGAACTGAATGTGGCTAAATAGGGTCATTTGGTTAAAGTGGTTAATGAAAAAAGTTATAGAATTGGTCCACATGGTCTTGGAAATTTACTGCATTATTTAGGCCACAGGTGCCACCTCTGTCTAGGACCCAGACAACCTGGAAGAGCATGCCATTAAGAAAACAGGCCTCTGGAGTCCCTGCAAAAGGTCAGACAGCACCCTCCAGTGTGGAAACCTAGGAAAAAAAATCAGTAGAGTACGAGCCAAGTAGGAAAGGAGTCAGGTATCATTTGGTGAGACTATGTGCACTGAAAATGATGGTGTCTTATGAGGAGTAAAGCTTTGATCATACAATTAGAGCAGCACAGGGAACATCTGAGCTGCTAGAGCAGTGGTTCCCAACCTTGGGGTCGCAATGATAATAAAACAGGTTACAAAGATGCTCAGTGTTGACCAATTCCAATTATTATGAATACACTTCCTGGTTATAAATATGTGAGTTGTGCATTGCAGTATGAATAACTGCCATTGACATGGTCAGAATTATGCTTGGGGAAAATACAGCAAAACCCAAAACCTTAGCAATACCGCGCTCTAACAATACAGTCAAGGATAGGGTAGAAGTGACTGCTGCAAATCAAGAAGAAACACCAAACATATGCCTGCAGCATTTGCTGTTCAGGTAAGAGTAGTTCAGGTAATAGTAAAGCTTTAAATGTGACAGCATGCAAATTTCCATATAACCATATTTATCTGCTAAATAATTCCTACACTAGGTAGTGTCAGGGCTTTTTCTGTGCATTTTGTGATTTAAGATTATGGCTAGAATGAGTTATAATTTGCATTGATTATCTATCTATCCACCTATGCAATTTCTCTAGCATATTATTGTTGAATATAGTATGGCACTTATTGTTTTACTTGCTAAAAGAAAATGTTATTGAGTATGATGCATTTGCATTTTATTTATTTTTAATTTATATTGCTTTATTTTTAGTGGGAGTTTAGAGAGACGGTTGTATTGAGCAAGCATAGCAACATTAACAGTGAACAGTAATGATAGTCTAGTTTCCTGTATAATTTCTGTGTATTATATACTTCTAAGTCTCAGTTGAGGAACCGTGACATCTAGGGCTGCTTAATGGTATGGCAACACAGTAAATACAATCCAGAATTAAAGCAATTGAAATAAATGTCAAATAAATTCATTTAATAGATTTTTTAGACTTTGTATTCCATGCTGTTTTTTAAATCTAAAAAGAAGTTAATGTTTTTAAATGTTTTAAATGAAAAATATAAAAACTATAAACATTGTAATGCCATATTTATGACTTGTTGATCTTGTCTGAATCATCTTGGGGTCACAAAACATTTCCAATGTTTAAATGGGGTCATGCCAAAGAAAAGGTTGGGAAGCCCTGTGCTAGAGCATCTTCAGAACAGCAGCTTTCTAGGGAGACAAATCGAAGGTCTCAAGTCTTCAAGTGCATTTGTCCACTGCAGTGAGCAAGGGCTGACAAAGCAGGACTCCACCAGATTTGCTCTGGTGCATGTTATGTGAAAAAGAATAGACTGGGTGCTTTGATTAAACAGGTCAGAACCTTGGGAGGGAATCCAAGAAACCAGCCAAGTCACTGCTACAGGAAATAGGCAGAGAATCAAATTAACTAAGCTCTAAACTAGAAGTTCCAGTCCTAAATTCTCAGTGCCAGGAAAAGCAAAGTCTGACTAGATGTCAACCCACTGGACAATGCAGCCAAGAAGTCAGAATGTGTAGAATGGCACTCTGTTCTGTAGAGGCTATTTTCTGCTCAAAGCATTTTGGAAAGATGCTTGTTTATAGTGGCAAACTGATAAAGCACTTGAAAAGTACTGGGAGGGGAGGAGGCTGAGGTTTATGAGGCTTCACTCTTGCACTGGAAGTTTATTAGGTATGTAGGGAGAGCTTTCTAAATGAGTTTTGTGAAGCACCAAAGCAGATTGTGTGGGAGGGTTGTGGAATCTCTGCCATTGGTAGTTTAAACGGAGGCTAGACAAACATTGTCTGAAATAGTTCAAATAAGGCAGGGGGTTGGCTCTAGAATGGTGCTCCCACGGTCTCTTTTCGGCTATGTTATTCTATGATTCTGTATTGCTTTGCTTTAGATCATGATTTTTTGAAATTCACGCTCTTTGAAGGGTTTAGAGACCTTTTGATAGGCCTTGCCATAGAAGATCTGGGAAAGGCTTGATCTCAAAGTGCTCCAGAACAAAGTAA